AAACCAATTTTATTTGCCATTTGTGTAGCTCTCTCATGGGTTTTCTGTGTGTGTGTACTTTCTGTTTTGGTAGCCGTTGTCGACATTTCTTTTGCGCTTTTGTTTTGGCTACATTTTTACTGTCGCATTACGTGCAACATTTGCTCGTTGATTGTTTTGGGGGTAGCGGCTGCTGTTGTTCCCCCTAAGTTGCCTCATGCCTCCCCATGGCATTGCATAAATTTGTCTAGCTGTTGTTGTTGTTGCTGCTGCTGCTGCTGCTGTTGGCTTTACAATTTATGCGCTTGTGGCGCCCCAAATGTGGTGCGGCTCTTTTGTTGGCTTGGCGAAAATTTGCTAAAATAGCAACCAATCCCCCATCCCACCACACCCCAGGACCAGACCCAAACCCAAAACGCAAAACCCAGCCAAAAAGCAAAAACTTTTGGCCATAAAGCACATGTGACTACCACATTGCCATTTCCATATACAGACGAATTTACATACATACATGCTTACATGTATATGTTTATGTATATGTATCACGTGTATTTGATTATATTTTGCAGTTTTTGTGCAGCCCATTTGACACTTTAAGCTTACACCTCTCCCGCTCCCGCTCCCTCAGTGCCCAGCCATAAACCATGCTCATAAATCATCCCAGAGCTGAATGCAGACACTGTGTTCGGTGATAAGAGCTGCTGCTGCTACACGAACAGAGACAGGTTTTGGGACATTTATAACAAGTGTTTCTTTCATGGTAATCACAGCCAAGCTTCGTACGTACGTACGTACAGCCAAGTGCCATGTTAGCTGGGCCAAGAAGTTTGTCAGTCTTAGGTGGCTTAAGCCGGATGCGGAAGAGGTGCATAGTTTCAGCAGTGCCAACAGATAAAGCCTAGATTGATGGTTGGCTCTGGTAGGAGATGCTTCTGAGATTTATGGGAGCAGCTTGGAATGCAGGAAGTGACTTACTTCTAAGATTTAATGGCAATGTTGACAGCTCAAACTAAACTAAAACTGCATCCTGTGAAGCAGCAAGACCCCTTAGAGATACCTTTAAAATATGTTCTTAATTTGTGGATTCAGTTATCGATAGATGGCTAGTTAGTTCTTATTTTTTAGAGGATATATTTGTACTTTAAATATTCCCCAAAAATACTCAAAAAGTTTCCCACGACAGCTTCCTTTTTTCTTACTTCTTAAGTTCTTTAAAAGCTTCGAAACTCTTTCCTACAGAGTATTTGCACATCGACTTTGACTCAGAAATGTTTGCCGTTTGACTTCTTGGGCATTTTTTTATGTTTTATTTCATCATAATTAATTTATCACTTGGCTTTCATTTTTATCGCATCGGATGTCACAGGACCTTCATTTCCCGTGGCCAACGCGAGAGGGCAGAGCCCGAGCCAGACCGAAATGTGACCCGTAATTGCTTTAAATGCTATTACGACACTTACGCACAGCAGGGCCCGTACAGCTACAGATACTGGATGGGGTGTAACCCCCCCAGTAATATCCGCCGTCTGGCTAAGGGCCAAGGGCAGTGTCTCTCTCTCTCTGTCTGTCTGTCTGTTTGTCTTTAGTATTTAACTTTGGCTTGGCCTGCAATTGTTTTTCGCTTTAAATAATTAAATTAAAGTGGGCATTCAACTGATTGAAGGAAAGCCTCCTCCTCCAAGCCACTGCCACTCGTTGCAATTATGTTTGTGTGTGTGTGTGTGTTTTTTTTTTTTTGAGAGTTTTGCGGGCATTGATCCCTAACCTGGTGCAATCAGCGTAATTAAGGCAGCAACTGCCATCGCCTGGGATTGCTTATAAATCATTTATTGCCAAGACATTATCGCCATGGTGTGCCATTGCACGTAGCATGCTACGGCTATCTGCTCTGCCTTCTTGTGCACCTTTTATGCCCCCTCCCCCCACTGGGAACTCGTTTCGCCTCGGTTGCAAATTATGCTACAGAACGCGTTAGCCTATGACAGATTGTATCTGCCAGATACTCGTACAGCATAGCCCAGCCGATGCTGCCAATGCTGCCGATGTTGCTGCTGTCGACGTGCCAGCGCAGCTTTCGTGTTGCACGTACCTCTTATGTGCCCGTACCCGTACCCGTACCCACTCTCCCTTGCCGCAGCAGTACGGTGTCAATTTATGGCCCGAGTAAATTCTAAAAACTGGGCATTTGGTTTTGGATTCGGTGTTTGAGCCGGTTCGCTCGGTTGGCCAACATCTTGTGCAAATCTCATTTATTTGCGGCTTTGGCCAGAACCACACACACACACACTCGCCTTCGCATTCGTATCTGCCACATACGTGTCAATGTGCCACTGACTGCCGTGCCAAATGCACTTTTTGATATATTGGCTCCGGGGTTATTGGTTTTCCATGGTTCTCCATCTGGCGTGGCATCAGTCTCGAACGTTTATCTGTGTGCGATGTGCGGATGCTCCCCACTATAAATTTCATCGCCTTTGACATGACAATCGAGAAATGTCAACAGAAGCCAGGCGACAATTTCCATCCCCACTATCCTTTTTTGTCCTTTTTTGCCTATGCTAACACTCAAATGCAGATCGCTTTTTACCATTGGGACATGCAAATTTGTTTAGGCTGATGCTGGGATGCTGAAAAAGTGTAGCTTTTTGGAAAGATTTTACATGAAAAGGAATGCAAGGAAAGCTTTATAGTATAGCTGTAATTTGTACGAAGTCTGTTCGCTTATGGGTAATTTCTACAGCAAATTAATTAAAGAAACTGCTCTGGAATCCGTTTATCTTCATTTTGAGCAGCGAATACATTGCGTGTATTTTGAGCTTGAATAGGCCCTGAAATTAATTTTGAATCCCTGCTTAAATATTTCTAGCTATTATTTCTTCAATTCTTTTAATATTAAAAATATCAAAAAATAAAAACAAATATTAAAAAAATAAAAAAAATATTTAAATTCTGCTTTCCGAGTTTCGGTTGCGCCACCTTCGTGTAAATCAACAAAGGAAAGAGTATTGCACATACATATAACATATATATATATATGTATGTATCTTCCAATCTATCTATCTATATTTTGGTTGCCCTCCCCTTACACACATAAATATAGCATATCCTTTGCTGGCAGAGCAATTGTCGTTGGATAACGGCTAAAGAGCCATAAAAGTGGATTACAGCCTTATTAGGCTTTCACCCAAGATGTTGGCGTGTCTGTGGATGTGGCTATATATATATATACATGTATATATGGATATTGTTATGGATATGGTGCCGCCTCTGCCTCTGTCTCTGTTTCTGTTTCTGTCTCTGACAATGTTGAAGCGCACTCGTAATCAAACGGCAACAGACAGACATTCGGAGCGACACGATTTGTAGCAATCTCAGCGAATAATGGAGACCAAGAACGATTGCAATTTGTGCCTTTGCTCGTCGTACATTTGAATATGCGAATATGTGTGGCAGTTGCGGCGGTTCTGTGTGCACATAAAGACTGTGCTGTATACATTATATATAAGAGGCATTCTTGTGCGACTTATACATGAGTCATAAATTGTGTGCCCATGGCCATCAGCCAGACGTGACGACGCCTCCACTGGCCCCTCAGTACCCTGCAGGGACTTTTTAGGAAAAAATAATTTCTGCCTTGATAATTTGCCATTTCCTGCTGTCCTGATGTCTGTCAGCTTCCGCCTGCCGCTGAGCAGTTGCAGCAGTAGCCTTGCACCTGAGTGCCATGCCTAATTGAATTTCACATTTGGCCAAAAAAAAAAAGGAAAAAATGTTATGGAAATTTATTTTTGTATCTTGTATCTGGGGGTCACTTCCAGTGCCAGTATGGTGACGGTGTGACGGAGTGCGTGTGCCAATGTCTGCGTACTTGAAATTGCTGGGGGGGAGGGGGAGTATCTGGTGGATGCTGGCACTGCACAGACTCATGCATCTTCCAGTGGCGCAACTGAATGTCAAAATGTGGCCCGAGTGCCATAAAATTGCCTGAATTTAGCGCTAGGTTTCGTACTCGGTGCCACTCCTCATTTGGGGCTGGGAGCTTCTGTTGCAGTTGCAGTGCCTGGCAGCGGTCCAGCTCTCCATCTCTGGCTGCTGCTGTTGCTGCTGCTGTGTCAAGTGTCTTTGCTCTGGGCTTGTTAATCTACGAGTGGCTGGTACTGCTCCATCTTGTTGTAGCTGCTGTTTGGTGCTGCTTCCTGGTAGTTGCTGCTCCTCCTCGGACTCCTCGGGCTTTGTTTTCATTACCGACCAAGTCCACATGGCCGGCCTATTAAATGCAAAATGTGCAGACAGCCAGAAAGACAAACGGCCGTAGTCCAGAGTTCCCTCCACTCTCCACTGTGCACTGCACTCCATCTGTCCCTCCGACTGACTGCTGGCCACGAGACTGTTATGAGAATTAAATATGCAACTGCTGGAGGAGCCTGCCAGCACCCCGGTGGCATGTGGCAGGGTTATTAAAGTTAATTACAATTTTTCATGGCATTCGTTTATTTTGATTATATATTTTTTTTTTCTTTTGCATGCTGTGTCCTTGGTCTCTGGCGATTTTTCCACTCTATTAATTTTCGCATTGATTTATTTGCGGGCATCCTCTGCGGCCGGTCTGCCATTGTTTACGGATCTGTCTCTCTCTCTCTGGAGAAGCGATCGATGGTAGCTGCCAATTAATATGAGTATGTGGCAGGAAAAGCGTTGCACACAGACACGCAGCTGGGCGGGGCAGGGAGGCGGCTTTCAATTAGATTACACATAAAGCACTTTGAATATTTGCTCACGATGATAATGATATATCATCGTATATATGGGAAAGCCCCGGGCTATTTATAGACGAGGCAGTGCTTGGTTGTATCTGATGGATGCCGCTTTAGATTGCGGAGCTCTTTGTGTATACAAATATTTTGTGTTTGGGTGGAAGCACCCCCCCTGTAAATAGTTCGTTAAAATTGTATGCCAAGAAAATTATTTCTGATTTTTTTTAATGTTTCTAATGCCATCCTTTCGCCTTCTCTATCTTGCAGCTGAAAGCGACCTGCTCACCTTTGCACAGCGCAAGGAGCACTACGAGACGGACAAGTCATTCCAGCAGGAACTCTTCACCGGCGACTCGCGGCCGCTTAGCGTTCGCCAGCTGTACACGGAGGCGGGCAAGGATCGGCCCGTGGGAGCGGCCACGGCAGGTGCCCTCGCCGCTCTGGCCCAATCGAATGCCACGGCCACGGGCACCACACCGCCACGTTCCATTTCCTTCAATGGGGACGTAACGACGGGCGCCCACAATGGCAGCGATGTCCTAATGAATGGCCACGCGGAGGCGTCGTCCGAGGACTATTTGATCTGCGTCTCCGACTTTGGCAATGCCAATCGCAAGCTGCGCACGCGCATCGATGCCGAGATCGAGATACGTTTGGTGAGTTTTTAACGGGTTTTCCCGGGCTGCTCCGTTAGGTGATGGCCCGTTTTCATGTACAGGTACTCACAATAGTTAATGCCACATGCATAAATAATATGTTTAGTGTCCGGAGAGCACGCACAGACCAGATACCAGAGACTAGAGACCTGGAGCTGGCCAGACCAGGTCCCCAAACCAAACCAAAACGAAAACTAAAACGAAGCGAACCCCATAACGACCTCATGTGTGTGGTCCCTGTGGCTGATGTTGTGGCTGTGGCTTCCTGCTATCTGCCAGCTGTTTCGCCTCTAAAAGCCATAGACCGTACTCTCCTCTCTCTCCTCCCTCGTCCAGCCATGTGCTCCACATAGCCAAAGCCCCCACACACACACACAGAGAAGAGCCTGTGCAGATTGCAGTCTTTGTCGTACAGCAAACATCGAACGAGAAGAGAGACCACACATCTTGCCACAGCCACAGCTCCAGCGGCTGCAGCTGCAGCTCCGCCTAATGGCTAACGTCTAACGAGGAGAAGCTGCAGCTCCATCAACGGGCTGGAAGGAAGGCTAAGACTCCATCAAATCATTCGAGTTAGTTGACTCGCTTTTAATTGCTCAAGTGTCGTCCCACGCCATTATGGCTTTTCCAGGCTGTGGGGCGGAAAAGACGCCAGCGAGGCAGGAACTTGTCTCCTTTTGTTTGTGGCCTAAGTCTTGTGCCTTGTGATGTCTTAGAAATTGATTGGACTGGATTTGAATGGTTTTCTTAGGGAATATTCAATAGGAGAGAGGTTGTAGATCAAGTAGATCTCATAGCTCTGAATATTTCCTCAGCAAATATCTACCAATGAATTCAATAGAACACTTTTCTCTTGGTTCTAATATTATATTATATTTTATTATTACATATAATATTATATTATTACTATATTATTACCTCTTGGATTCATTTTTCATTTGGTATATTTCCCAAGAATATATACAAAAGTACTGGTACATTTTCATTTATTTTATGTAAAGTATTTTCGCAGAAAATCTTTGTTTTGTTGATTCTACTTTTCTTTTTTTCTATTTCTTTATTTAAATTCAGAATTTATTAATTGAATTTTGACAATTTCCATATGGATCTCCCACTCCTTCTACATCTCAAGTATCTACTGGATAATCTCCACTTAAGTTGGTTCCAAAAATGTTTTCTTTTATATACAGAATTAATGTATATATTCCTTGCAAATATATTCTATTCTTTGTTCTTTCAACGTTCTGGTATCTTGGAAATTCTTTTGTTTGGTTGCAGCTCATGAAATTTTGGAATTTATTGTTTCTATTTGGAGATTTTTCCTGATAGAATTTTATGTATATACAAAAGAAAAAATCTGAAATCTCATGTTCAACTGCATTTGTCTTTTCCAATTTATTCCGTCTTTGTTCGCTGTCGCAAATTCTTTGAGAACATATCAGAAAATTGCAGTTAATTTGAGCTAACGCGCTTGTGCAGTTGTCCCACTTCGATGTCGTCGTTGTCGTCGTCTTTGTGTCGTCTCCTGTTTATCTTCTGGCCATGGCCATTAGATAAGCTCCAAAAGACAAACAGCCAATGGGCAATAGACGATGCCATTGGCAAAGGCAGCTCCAGACTCAGACTCAGCCACGACGACGACGACAACGACGACAATTTGGATCGCTGTTCGATAGGTTGCCAAACTTGTTTTTGGCAAAAACAGCGCCGGTTGTCAATCCCAGTCGACTGTCGCCAGTCCCACAGTGCCCCATCTCCATGTTCATCTCTCCCTGGTTGTGTGCCTCTCCTCCTTGTGGCTGCTCCATTCTGTTTCTGTCGTCTGCTGCTTAATAAAATGACTTTTAATCCTTTTCGCATTGCGTTTGACGTTAGTTGGCCGCAACGTTCCGCTTGGCCTGGCCTGGCCGCACTGGCACTGCTTACTCCTCAGATAAGCCAAAGTGAAAGAGAACCCCGAGCCCAGACCTGGGAGACCCATTAGCGCTCTGCGGTTTATTGGTTACGGCAGCAACTATCTTCAAGATGGCAACGAAAGGCATGGAAAGGAATATGGGTATGGGGAGGCTGTTGTTATTGTTGTTTACTTGACGGCTCTTAAATCGCATTATTATATACGGCACTCGACAGTTATGTGCGAATATTTTATCGTTAAAAGTTTCCCAGCCATTGACAAGAAAGATGGAAACCGAGCCTGAACCGGAGCCGGAGCCAATGCCCCCCCTGAAAGAGTTTTTTTGGCAGACTCAAAATGTGACTCCGTCGCCGTCTTTCTTTATGGTCAGAGAGTCGAGCCGCCATTGACTTTGGCCATTTGGAAATCTAGCTCAAGTGCCTTTTTATGTAGATTTTTCTGAGGGGGTGTGGGTTCCCCCCCCCGATACCGCTGTCCCAACGTCTCCCCACTCTCCCCTACTCCGCACATGATATTCAATTGTTACAATTGATTCCGAGGGCAGTCGAACCGAAAATCAAATGAAACGATTGCGTTTTTTTTCTTTTTCTTTAAGAGAGTAATTCACTTAGCAATTGAAAACAATTTTCAATCTGGGGAATGTTTTCTGTACACCCAAAGAAAAAAGCCAACCAAATTTTTAATAATTACACTTAGATTTAAAAATGAATACAAATAGATTTGCTCTGAGAGTCGAAATTAATTCAAATATTTTAATGAAATATTTTCATATCAAAAATAAAAAAATATTAATTTGAACATTTTTACACTTAGATTAAATATAGAGTACTACAATAATTTTTTTAATATATTTCTGTTAAAATCAAAGTGAATTCTATTGATTGATTTTCTTATTTGTTGTATTTAAAAGCCGAATATTTAATTTAAATAGGGTTGTGTCTTTTTTTCTATCCAATTCTTCTCTGAGTGTGTGTACCATAGGAAAGAAAATATAGAAAACTGCGGAGCACGAAGAAATCATTTCGTTGGGGCTTCCCAGCCATTGGTTTCCCCTTGGAAGGGTATCCCTGAACCACGTGTTCCTTTATTGTTTTTTTTTAATTAGACTGATTGAATTTCACTTTGAAAGCATAGAACGCGTGTTGCTGCTCTTTTTTTGTGTTTTTTGGTGTGTGAGGGGATTTGAAAGTGGCGTGACTTGCCCCAATTTGCGGAAAGCATAGAGAATGTTTGCGCAAACATAAATGCCAGAAGGCAGACACATTTTTCAGGCCCTATTCGTGACTCCTACGGCAACTAATTAGGGAGCTGTCCGGCAGGACATAAAACAATATTATTTGCATGCCAAATGGCCAAATGTTTCAACCCTTTCCTTTTTTTTTTCCTTCCCATCTGTTTCTTTCAGCCCGCTGCCATCGAGGATTTGCGGAAGTGGACATCCAGCGAGGCGCTGGGTGATGTCACCGTCACGCCCGATTGCATGCACCATGTGGACACCTCGATAAGCACCTCCATGGTCATCGGCGACAGTGGCGTCCACACGCCCGCCCTCTCTCCGTCCGTGCTGTCCGCCGATGCCGTCGATGCCCTGTACGCCCAGAACCTGAGCCAGGCGGCGGACAGCAGCGCCCATCATCATCATCATCCATCCCATCATCATCAGGCATTGCTGCCGAACGATATCAATAAAGATGTGCCTTTGAATCATCGACTGCCTTCACCCGAGGAGCAGACCAAACAGATTGCCTTAAAGTGAGTATCCAAGGGAAATAAATTAACGATTTTGATAGGGCTACACACTTACAAAATACTCAAAGAGTAATATTCCAAGCGAAATATAAATTACAGTTTTCAAGCCATTGTGCTAAGCTAATAGTTTTACAGCCACAGTTACATGCTTACAGTTTGACATGTAGCTGTGCCTACTATTCATTTTTTTTTAATTTTAAACACACAATTTTAATAGGTTTTTCATGCAAATTTCACAGCAACTATTGTTTGCTTTTGTTGTTCCTGTCGCAGCCACACACACACATACACAAAACTGTTGTTTTTCCACCACATTTTCAACATTTTCCACATTTTTTTCCGCCTCGATTTGCTTCAGTCGAATGTTTGTTCAGAGAGCGCATCGCGCGTATCGGTTGGAAACAAAAAAAATGCTTAAATAAATTAATTGAATTACGTATGAATATTTACAGTGCGGTGGCCGCACAATTATGCAAGTGTCGCCCTCGTCTCCCCCCCTTCCTCTGGGGCCGCGCCCCGTTCCGGCCATGGCTCATTTGTTAGGCTCCGAAATGGAGCAGCAGCCGCAGCGGCAGCCGCTGCCAGACGGAGCCATATTCATGCTCCACTGATTGGGGGCACAAAAATGCTGTGGTTCGGTTAAACGAATTATCGTTTGGGTAACCACAAAAAGTGCACTTCAAACTGTGCCCCCAACAGCAGGAAATCGCACTCCAAAGAAGGACAAGCCATGACCCGACTCTCCTACTCTCTCCCCACAGATACCCCGCCGAAGTGATTTCGGTGAACATTTCTGGAAAGAATTTCCAGCGGATGTGTGCGGCCCGCAAGTCCACTACGGGATGCTTTGCCGGTGGCACCACACCGGCGGCCTCCTCGAGCAGTGCCAGTCCGGAGAACGGCCAGCCGGAGGCCAACAATCTGGACGACAATGTGCAGACGGTTAGCCGGAGATCGCGATCCCGCAAGGTGCGTGGCAAGCGGAGGAACACGATAGCGGGCATCGATCAGAAGGAGATCCAGGATGCAGCCAATGGGTATGTATCTTTAGCTTTGTATCTATCTGTCTATGGATATCTACAGATATCTATATCTGTCTGTTACTTCTGTTTATGTCCCACTTTCAAACGCTGAGCAGTTGCTAGAACTCTCATACTGCCCATCAGAACTGTACATAAGTTCCATACTAAACATCGTATATTAATGTGTACATAGCTGATCAGATCTCATCAGATCGTACATCCTATACTCGTACATCGTATTCTCAACCCTCTCCCCCATTTATTCTCAACTGCATTTTCCCATGAGATTATTGTGAACAGACAAATTTATAGCTGAACAATTTGTTATGCTGTTTAGTTTTTCTTTTTTTTTTTCTTCTTGATTTTTCTTTCCAATGAGCCGATTCCTGTGCCATTAACTATTATATCATATTACTATATACATATATATATTGTTTGCCGAATTAGCCGCACAAAATGCATGAAATAATTATGAAAATTGTTGACTAAAATTTGAATGTTGTACAAAGACAAAAACAAAAATGCAAAATAAATTTGTAAATAAATTATGTTTTTTTTTTTCGTTTAGCTTAATGTACGTAATTAGATACTTGTTGTTGCATTCCAAATTCAATTAAATTTCAGCCGCATTCCTTTGCCAAATTCGACAATGGGAATATTTATTACATACGGAGCGTAAAGCAATTTTTGGATATATTTTTTTAAATCAATACAAACAAACAAAAACAGCCTAACAAATTCAATGACAAATCATGAATACAGATACAGAATATACCCACATAAATACGAACAGTCATGATACATCCATACATCACACGTACATATCACGATCCATACCACCAGACATTCGCCCTTTATCCGCCCCCGTCATTCTTGGCCAGGCCAGGCCAGGCCAGAAACCTCTCAACACCCACACACGCAACATTTGCACTCCTCTTTGGAGCCATAGGCATAGCCATAGCCATAAGCATAGCTGGGATCTAGTCAGTCGTCAGTCAGTCAGTCGACCCACTCTTTCAAGCTGATTCTCTCCTGTAACTCCGCTGCACGCCGCATCATCAGCATAAATCATGCGAGAGGCAAAACTCCTCTGTAGGAATTGCACAAGTACGAGGCAGAAATGTGTGGTGTATTTTTTTCATTTTTGGTTCCTTTACACTTTTGGCTTTCAGACTTTCAGCCTTTCCTGTGCTTTTCAAATGCCACGGCACACACGAAACGACACGACGCGGCGCGACGCGACGCCTTTTGCTAAAAGTTTCATAAATCTTATTTTGTTTTTTTTTGTTGGGCGTCTGCCCACAAAAGCCATGGAGTTTGGCTCCAAGTCCCAGCGACAGCCCAGAGACGGCGTCATTCCATTTGACTGCGTTCTATATGCAACATGAGACCCTACACACACACACAGATAGAGTTCAAGTGTGTGTGTTCGTGTGTGCCACATTATGTCAATGCTGTTCAATATTTTTGTATGCTTTGCGATCAGCAGCAGCAGCAGCAATCGAAAAATGCTGAAATAAGCGCAAAAAGTTAACGCCCCATGGCCAGTGCTTACCAAACTGTAAGTGCATTCATTTCGTACACTCACACCAAAATGGGTATTTTTCATTTATCAGAAATGTTTGAAAAGCAGAGAATAAGCATGCATAAGACCCTATCCAAAATATACAATAAGAAACCAATTTGATCCAATTCGGATCACTTTATAGCTGCCAATTGCTTCCATCGCTGCCACACGACACCACACATTAATGCTCGACACGCACAAACGAATACTACTAAAGAGAATGCCCGTGAATGACCAAAAATTGTGCAAATTGAGTTTAGCCGAAAGATTTTTCTGCAAAGTGTATCTAAAACTTCGACCACCCCCCAAAGCTGGCATTTCGTACATTTCTCTCGCATTTGATTTTGTTTGTGCTCATTCGAGTATACATTGAAATTCAATGGAAATCTTTTAGCAATGACTGCACTTTGTGGCCCCCCTAATTCGAGCTGTTTCTGCCCCAGAAACGGAATGAGTCGAATTCTTATCGCCCTGCCCCTTCTGCCCCCCTCTCTCTCTCTCCAGCTCTCATGCTAGGCACTTTGCATGCCACACAGCTGCCTCATAGAGTGAGTGGGGAGTGGGGTATGATCTGCTTCACTCGAAACTAAAATTTAGATGTTGTAATCGTCTCTAATAATCAACAGATGAGGCGGCGGCGGGAAAGCAACGAAAGAAAATGTAAAATGAAAAATGAGAAACGAGAAATACAAATGTATTCGGGAAAATTAACCTCTGAACTGTGCCATTAATTAATTTAGATTCTAGACTCAACAATAGATTCTCATCTATTTCTATTCCCATATATTCCCATGTCATGTCTGTTGTGTGTGTGTGCATATCTGTGTCTCTCTCTCATTAACCAGAAACAGCAAACGAATAGAATTTTCTCCTCCAACAGCAAAGTCTTGACTGAAAAACTTCACACAATAATCACATCACATAGGAACATCTCTCTCTCTCTCTGCTATAAGCCCACTCTCTCTATTACATTTCTGTCCTTCCTTCTGTGTGGCTATTCCATGCACCCTTCCACATCTTCCATCTTCCATCTACCATACGACATCTTCCATCAATCATTACGAATATGCTAACCAAATACCAAACATATATTTTCTCTTTTATGTTCCCTCCTAACCCAACAACAAAATGTGTGTGTTTTTTGTTGCACATTTTATGCAAAAAACCCGAACCGAACCCGAAAACAATTCCCAACACGTAAGCAGCCATGGAGAGTCTTCCTCCGCGAAGCATGCAAACTCCTCGAACGCCACATCGCCGGCACCGGCGGCGGCCAGTGCGGACACGCCGGAGGGCGCCAAGAAATCGAAGAAGTTCGGACGCAGCAAGTCGAGTGACATCTTAAAAAAGGAATCTGTTGCCTTGCCCTACGACAAGGGCAAGAGCACCCTGACACGGCTCAACTCGCTGAAGCAGTGGGGCCGCAACCGGTTCAAGTTCATGCATCGGGCGGGCGAGCTGAACGGCCTTGGGGAGAGCAGCCAGCTGGACACCAGCGGATGCAGCTCCCAGAACAGTTCCGCCGAGAAGCCGGACAGCAGCAGCCACGGATCGCCGCCGGGCCACGGTCTCGGCCTGGGCCTGGGTTTGGGACTGGGGCTGGGCTCCTCCAGCGTGGAGCGTGGTGGCAAGTCGAAGACGGCCAAGCGCGACATTGACGCGGAGTGTGTGGTGCACGATCTGATCGCCCAGAAGAGTGAATCTCGGTTTTCGCACGAACGAAAACCCTCGTATTCCTCCTCGGAGAAGAGCATGAGCGTCTCGAGCAGCGGCCAGCTGAGGGGCAAGCTGCAGCTCTCCGCCTCGCTGGCGGCGGCGAACGTGAAGATGCGCGAGACGGCCACACTGAACAGGCAGCGGCGGAACGGACTGCACGGCCTGGCCGGCAAGGATGAGCAGCCGCACTCGTCCAGCGGCAACTGGAGCGCCAGCTCGGAGTCGGGACGCGCCTCCATTGGCAGCGAGATCACCATGCAGCCGAAGTCGAGCGCCTCCAACACCTCGCTGAATGTGTCCAGCTTCCAGCCGTGCAACAGCAGCGGACCGCCCTCCTCCATGATGAGTCGCCGGCGATTCCTGAACACCTCCGCCTCGAGCAGCGTCACCAGCGAGGGCACGGCCACGCCGGAGCTGCAGACGGAGGCGGGCGCCTATCCGAATCACCTGGACGACGAGACCAGTTCCGCGTACAGCTGCGACACCGAGGGCTACTACACCTCCTTCCACATGGACAGCGGACTGCGCACGCTCAAGGAGGAGGAGCCACCGATGACGCCGCTGCAGCAGAGCCTGCACACCAGCTCCTACTCCTTCGGCAGCAGCCAGTCCAACCAGACGGTGCTCAATGCGGAGAACGAGTACGAGCTGTACGGCCGGGGCTCGACCTCGACCACCACCAGCTCCGCGGGCACCGTCTGCACCACGCTCCTGAATGGCGCCATCTCCGGGCCGGATGTGCCGGAGCGGACCAGCTCGCTGGGCAAGCACAGCTCCAGCCAGAGCCAGGGCCACAGTCAGAGCAACAGCAACAGCGCCAGCAGCAGCACCCTGGAGCGCAGCTACAGCAGCAGCACCATCGGCAGCACCCTGGAGCGCACGGGCACCATCAAACGGAACGTGAAGAGCGCGGCGCCCAATGCGGAGGATGCCGCCCAGCAGGAGCAGGATCTGCAGCAGCAGCAGCAGCAGCGCTCGGCCATGCCCCTGCCGGGCGGGGCAACGGAGCTGGAGTTCTCGGAGAGCTCCGATCTGGAGGGCGTGGAGCGCATTGAGCGGATCAAGCAGAAGACGGCCATCACCTCGAAGCGGATACCCTCCATGTGCATCATCACGCCCACGACCAGCGACGATGACGAGCATCAGTCGCAGGCGGATCGCACCCTTACGAATCTCTGCGTGGATGTGGACCAGGACGATCAGGATGCCTTGGAGGCGGAGCAGAGGACCCCAACCAATGCGAGTGCTGCGGGCAGCAGCAAGGACCACAACCTCAACGAGCTTAAGCAGACGCCCACGAAAGCTTTGAGCGGAATGTTCGAGAAGCTCAAGGTGAAGCTGGTGCCGGGCAAAAGCTCCAGCTCAAGCTCAAGCTCAAGTTCCCCGGTTAAGCCAAAGCTCAAGCCCGCCTCCGCGAGTGCCGTCAATGACGATGAGCTTTACGACCTGGCGGGCGAGTACGTCACCATCGCGGACATCAGCAACAACAACAACAACAATCAGAGGGCAAAGATTGGCCCCTCGGGCGCTGGCTCCAGCCTCGGCATCTACTATTCCAATGACATAGTTCGTCGCGGAGCTACGTCCGAGTACGTGTCGCTGAACGAGCTGCCTCAGCATTTGCGTCGGCATGCAACCCATGGCTCTCCCTCTGCCCTGCCGCTGCCGCTGAGCGAGAGCGGGGCCTGCGCACAGCTGCTGCTGCCTGGTGAGACGGCGGCAGCTGGCAAGGCCACACAGCCACCCCATATGCAGCAGCAGCAGCAGCAGCAGCAGCAGCGGCAGAGGCAGCAAGAACCCACCACCCGGAGTGAGGGTTGCGGGGTGCCGATGTATGCGGAAATCAGCGAATTGCGAGAGGAGAAATCGCTCGTTGCCGCTCAGCAGCAGCAGCAGCAGCAGCAGCAGCCGCGTCGGGTGCGCACGACGGCCGAGGGCAGAGTCATCTACGATTCGGATAGCTTGAAGCGACGCAAGGGTGCACACACCACCTTTGCACCTGGGCCGTACGTGAAGGAAACCGAAAGTGCCCTGCTCAGTGCAACGCGAGACGCCACAACGGGCGAAAGTGCAACATCAGCAGCAACAGCAGCAGCACAGCAGGAGAAGCAGCAGCATCCACAAAGAGCGTCAAGCTATTGCTATTGAACGGCGGCGGTAACGCTGGCAACCACCGCAAGGTGGCCAATGTGCGTCCCATAGTCGCCAAATCGCCGCTCAGCAAGATCCCTCAGAGCACCAGCAACAGCAGCAGCAGCAGCAGCATGGCTGCGTATCAGTCAGGTAACAGTCGGAGGCGGCGGCAGCTACCAGGAGCAGAAGCAGTTGCTGGCGAATCACACGAATCCCTTCTACGAAACAATTGCAGCATCAGCAGCAGCCACCGCCGCCGGTGCACCGGCAACGGGCGGCAGCATGATGCCATCGCCCTCGGGCAAGTCCAATTCATCGACTGGCTCCACGGCCACCAATTCGTCATCCTCCACGGCATCGGCGCATTCCGGCGAAGAAGGTAAGCTAGTGTACCAGCCGCCGGCAGACAGTTGCCATTACGCTTGCCCACCCACACCCAAACCCACGCCCACACTTACACCTACACCCACACTTACACCTAAGTCTAATGCCCTGTCCGAATCCAAGCCCCCCTGTTCCTCCTCCGCTGCTAATGTAAATAACACGCTACTTTGCAACACTGCCAGAACAGCAGCAGCAGCAGCAGCAACAAGAACAGCAACAGCAGCAACAAACATTAACAAACACTACAGTTTTGGAGTCAAAAGCAAGTCAAAATCCGCATCAATGGGCACGAACATATCAAGCGTAGAGCAGCAGCCACAGCAGCAGCAGCATCCACAGCAGAACCCCAACGATTGCGAGTCGAAAGTGAGGGTTGCTGAAATGGAAACTAACCCCCGTGCGGATGCGAATGGGGATGATGGGGAGCGGCAGCAGCTGCCACCCCTACTGCCGCCGAGGGCGAAAGTAAATGGCGCCCCAACTCCCACTGCAACTTCAGTCCCTGCCTTATCGATTGACCCAATTGCAGTGCACTTCTCCCTACCGAATCCGAATACGAATCCAAATGCAAATGCAATTCCCGGCAAGCCGCGCGCCGCTCTCAAGCGCAACAACAGCTACAGGCTGGCCAACGATGAGCTGAAGCTGGAAATGAACAAGGAGAACCAGGAAGTTCAGCTGTCGTTCGGTGCCGAGAGAGGCCCGAATTCGGGTACAATGCCCCCCATGCAGCATGCAACAAGTTCTCTTCGGCTGCGCAACCTCAGCAACCTCAATCTGCCAGCCACACCCACACCCACACCCACAGCCACACCTGGCAGCGGGGAGCGCAAGATAGCCAAATCCTTTGAGCGTCTGGTCGATGAGTTCTCCCTGTCCCTCACCGCCGGCAATGATTCCTCCTATTTGAGGAACAAATCGCTGGAGAATTTCGATGACTCACCCGCCCTGTTGGCCCTGGCCAATGAGTCCCAAGAAAGTGGCGAACAAAAGCCAGACACTGCTGACGCTGCCTCTGACTCCGACTCCGATTCGGAGGACGATGTGGAGGCACTGACGAAGCCCATGCCCGCCCCCAAGTACCACAAGTCCTTTGTGGATAGCGTGCTGCTGCGTCCTTTCAAAATTATTCTGCCCCACGACGACAACGGGGCGCGTCGTCAGCGCATTTTGCAAAAGTTCGAGGTGACGGAGATCTGGTAGGAGGCACCAGAGCGAGTCCTGGCTGTAGTTTGACCTTTTGTCAATGGCCTAACCCTTTTCACACACATGTGCCAGTCAGGCTCCGTTCCGCCCTTCAAGGAGCCCGTCTTGAGCAAACACTGCAAAATAATTGACTATCTTGGCAACTTCTTCTTCACATTGTGCCGTCGCTCATTAAAGTTGCACCCAGCCACTAGGCATCAGCCATCAGCCACCAGCCACTAGGCGGCTCGTGCGCGTGTTCAATTGCCTTGCCTGGTGGGAGTCTCCTTCTCGAGTCTCAAGTCCTGAATCTTGGGGGTTCAATGTCCCTGCCACTGCCAACGCTGCTGCCTGCGCCTCTACACTTGATATACTTGATATGATGTGATCCCAAACGTCAGTCTATGTGGGGTTTTCCCCACCCTGATATTTTGTTTTGTAATTTATTTTCCCAATTTTTGCGCTCGTTTAACCAATTTTATGTGTGTGTTTTTTAACCCTAACTATTAAGGAACTTAATCATTAATGTTACTTGTGTTCGTTTACCCCTAAACTAAATACTATACATACGTACATACATATATACATATATATTTTTGTGTAACTAATTTGTAATTTAACCATAAACCAAACACATGTTTATTTTGTAAATTTTGTAAAGTTTTTTGCACCGTTTTTATAGCTAAGATTTGTTGTATGTTCCACCACGACTATGATGCTAATTTTTGTTGTAAAAACTACTTGTATTATTTATGATTTTTGTATACAAAATTCAATGTGTTTTGAAAAGCGTGCAAAAGACTTCTATTGCATCATTTACGAGTAGTCCAGCATGCCCGTTGTGTTTGTCCATGTTACCTGTAGTAGTAGTAGTTTTTTGCACACTTTTCCACCCCACCAAAAAAAAAACACTAACGATCCAAGTCTGTAGTAGTTTGCAAAAATTAGCACATGGCGCCATAACCTTAAGTTCTTGCCTAAGTCCCAATCACATTCCATACAAAAGAACACACATCTAACCGCCTAAACAACCAACCAACCCACCCACCGATCGTAAGTAATGTTTTTTGCAACACAAAATAAATCGAAAAGAAAACGAAAACGAAACGAAACGAATATTTGGCATTGAATCATTGATTGACATTATCATGGCATGGCTGATTGAGGTAAAGGAAAACCACCATCCATCCATCCAACCATCCACCACACCCAACACACGCACCCAAAAAGCATTTTCACATCATATCTAGCACCCAAGCACAACAGTCCACCAGTTCCATGTGTATAAATGTATATATGCATCCATATAGTCGTGCATTAAAGTCTGAGGGGAATACGCCCAGGTATGTATGGAACCGCTTGCTTTGAATGCTTCTCTCTAGTCGATTATCCTAACCATCCGCACTTCGAAAATTGCCTACTAAACCCATGAGGGGAATCTGCTGTCTAACTGCTGTCTGACTAATTGTCCGTTTGACTAATTCGCATCGAAATTGTCTTTACTCCACAGGGTATCAACGTTTCTCTAACATCTATGAGCAAGTGCAGCCAGCACAGACCACCGCCAGCACACAGCCCACGGATGACACTGCCACGCCCTTCCAGCGAAGCGCACCCATCTACTGGACGCTGCAGAGTCGCCGCAGCCAGCAGAAGCCGCAGCCCAGTGGCAACATTACCTGCCGGGATGATCTGTATGCCACGCCCATACGGCGAGCGGATCGTCTGGCCCGTGCAGCGGCCGTCAATGGAGCTGGTGGGGCTGGTGTTCCAGTCGCGGACAACCCAGATGGCAAGAGCAACATATCGCCAATTGTGCCAAGGACTCGCGGCGGAGCCTTCCTCACTTCCACGCCCACTCGCGGTGAGGCGGAGAAGGCAGGAGAGAGTGTCCCAGTGCCACCCATGAAGCAGCCCTCGCGCAACTGGAGCGATAATGCGCCGGAGCGACTGAACACTTGCGCCGATCGCATTGGTCAGAGCAAGACGACGCTGATGGACTTCAAGAAGCTGCTGCTGGCCAAGTCAGCCAAGACGAGTCCCGTGCAGCGCAAAATGTCAGCCGTGGAACTGCTGAAGAAGTCCTCCGGCCAAGCTTCGGGCCCAGCACCCACGACGAAGGCAAGTGGACCCGCCCCCAAAGCGGGTGCGGCGGCGCCAATCAACTCCAGTCTCAAGCTGCTCGATCTGAGTGGCTCGCCAAAGACGTTTGCCAACCGCCGGATGCTGCGCCAGGGCCAGTTCGGATCGCCATCCAAGACCTTCGTGCCAAAAGTGCGTGGTCCTGTGAACGTGGTGGCCGCTGCATCTGCCGCACCACGTACGGACATTATGTCCACCACCATACCAGAGGCCAATAGCGAGGAGGATCACTCCAACACGAGCGGAGGATCCCGTGCCAGCTCTGAGGCGGGCGAAACAGCAGCGCCGGAGACTCGCGAGTCGCCAGCCAGCCCCCCCGTGGTCACCTCCAGCTACGATCTGAAGCGCAATTTCTTCCTGCAAACCGAGCAGAACAACTTCATGCGCGGCGAGCTGAAGCACACCTTCGCGGGCAAGGGCTGCAGCTCTAGCTCTGCAGGTGCCAGCGCAGAGAGCAACAAATGTGCGAACGCTCCGCTAGTGGCCGCTGCGCTGCCGTCATTCGAGACGGCGCTCTAAGAGACTTGTGCGATGCCAGCGTTCGGGTCTAACCCGCGTTAGCAGTCGCCGCAGGAGGCACCGCAGTAGTAGGATGCACGAGCAGATTTCGCATAGATAAAATATAAATATATTCCATAAGAAACGATCGGATAACCGAGACAAGCAATCGTAATCGTTAGGCTTCACCCCCGACACTTATCCCACACTAGCCACACGCTGAACCTGCATTTATTGACGAGAACTGACGAGAGAGGAATGGAACGAGTCAAAAGCGATGCTACTTTATGCAAAACTTATACATACAATATATCAATTAACCATATACACAATAACTTTATACAATAAACTGTATTTTTAAAATTGTGCTGCTTGTATAAACGGATATTTTATACACGAATACGAATTACGAATTACGAAATATGAATGAATATGAAATACGAATCGTCTATACAATACATTATATTTATTTGTAATTTTACATTATTTATTGCAATTATGTATTACGCTACACGCATTGCTCTTTCTTTTGTACGTCTATTACGAGCTAAGGAGAATTGCTAATCAATAAATACATTGAATAACACACAGACAACAGGCAGTACATGCTTATGTGCTTGAATGGATTTACTATACTCGTTATTGACTGCATGTCTAGATCCAGCTGCGGCCCACGCTGCCGGATCTGCGCTTGGACGACTTGTCGCCGACCGAGCTGGCGGCCTGATCCTTTCGTCCCAGCACTGGCGAGCTCCCAGATCCAATATTGCGTATTAGTAGCTTGAGGCCGCGAGCCTGTGCATCACTGGCCTGACTCACACTGTTCGCCTCGGAAGCAATGATGCAGAAATCGTCGACTATGTGTCCCGGCGGACTAATGTCAAAGGGCAAGATATCGTTTAGGCTCTGTTGATGCCGATAAACGCTGCGCCGCCGCGTGCTGCCATCGCCGCTGAGGTTGTGCGAGCTACCGCTGACTGGCTGCTGCTGCGCCTGTTGTTGCAGCTCCTGCTGGGCGTGAAGGAGGCGAGCGCGCAGCCCGGTATTGTCCTCACTGAGGCGTTGCATATGGGCCGCTTCCTGCTCGGCACGAACAAACGTGGGCTGTGGCAAGCACTGATATACGGTTGTCAGGAAGTTGCGAAGCGACAACAGCGACGTGTCCTGCCACTGCTTGGTGAAGTAAAGTGCAAAGCTGGGCGACTCTTCTGCGTTCTTGCAGAAGGGGAAATCTGCAAGCGAACAACAAAACAACAATGAAAAGGTGTCCAAAGAACTGTGTCCATAGTTCTACCCACAGAACCAATCCTTCCACTCGCTCTGCTGCTGCAGCTCGCCTGCCATCTTGTTGAAGAACTCTGATATCTTGTCCGACTTGTTGTTGCTGTAGGCCGTCACCAGATAGTATTTAAGCAGACTGTTCTCCAGTTTCTTCACGGCTAAGGGCATACAATGAATCACTATCACACCAAAATATGTGCGTAGAGCATCGGCAAAGGATTGCTTACCCACAGCGTAGGTGTGGTCCAGCTTGGTGAACAGATTATTGTCCAGGTGTAGCCACAGGCTACGGAGTCCGTGCAGGTCGTAAGTTTGCACTGCATTGGTAAACTGCTCCAGTACTCGCTCGGCTCGAAAGTGTTGATCCTTCTCGGTGCGCTGCTCCAGGTCCAGCGCCTTTAAAGTGCTGGAGAAGCCTCGAAACACGAGATATTCTCTCAGCAAGTTATCAAGGAATGACACCTGTGCCATTTAACAGTAGAAGACAGTGGATATTAAATAAAAAACAATTTGCTAAAATTTTTATTGAGCAACCACAGAATTAGAGTGACCAGGCAAAGATCAGGGATGCCAAATCAGTTATTTTATAGCTAGCTATATAGCTTGTCAAGTCCGTCAGTATATTTACGGTATATTTTGATATTTACAAGATATAATTCGGTATTTTTCGGAGGGACTGAAGGTATATTTGATGGATAAGTCCGCAAACACGTTGTGACAAACATTGTGAGAAACATAGATGTTTTGTTTGAACCCTATTATGTAAACAATCTAATGAAAAAAAGTTCTGAAAACTAGCCAATCATGTACAAAACTGATTGAGGATTTGGATAAAATTATATTTTCAGGCCTGGAGAGCACGAACTAGCTCGTAATATTAAACCGAATATCAAAATCGAGTAATATCAACGCATCTTGTCGTGTCTGTCAGTATATTTACGGTATATTTTGATAATGACATGGTATATTTTAGTACATTTATGAGGGTCCGGCGGTATATCTTATCATTAAATCCGCGGTCACATTATTCGAGACGTAAATCGTAAATTTTTGCCATCAATTTCAATTTTTGAAATCAATGCACCAGCAAAAGAATCGCTTGAAATATGAGTCGAAAGGGAACGAAAGAACAAAATGAGGTATCGTTGATCATAGGGACGCTACCGAAGCGGCTGCAAAATAAAATTGCTGCAAGCTGTGGCCACGCAACAGCAACAGCAGCAGCATTGGAAGATGCTGAAAACGCGGAGCCCCCGATGGCTACAACAACAACAACAATAGCAACAAAGAAGAGTTGCCCAAGGCCAAGTAGGTTTAAATACGTCACAGCTATTTATTTATTATCATGTTTTTCTCACTTTGACATATTCACAGTCACGATTTTGAGCAATTCATCAGTAAAGGAAAAATGTATTGAAAAAATGCCCGTTTTGGATACCAGCGGGTCGAGCAACAAGCAACTAAGGGATGTGTGCATACCAGGCATACTGCGGGTCACGGCAAACGTGTCTGACAATGCTACGGCTAAGACTTGTCATTATGGACGGCGACGTGGCCGCACTCAGGCCAAGAAGAATAAGGCGCACACGCCGCATTCGCCACAGGAGCGGACTCGTCTGACCACCGAGCATCCCGAATGGTTCGAGCCCATGCTGTCTATGGCCAGTGCAAAGGATATTGTACAGCTGTATGACCAACTAATGGTGCTGCAGCAGAGGAACCTAATCCTAGTCGTAAGTTGTGCCTATTGCTGTTTAACGCCGACTGGTTGGTATAAACTATTGTATGGCTCATTGCAGAACTGGAAGAACTTTTGCTATATCCACAACCAGCTGCAGGAAGCCTTTAAGACGCTGATGCTGGAGCAGCTGCGGTTTGTCTGCGAGCACAAGGTCGATGCCTTTTTCTGGAAGCTGCTGTTCTACAACGTGCGCGAGTATCTGAAGCGGCAGCAGACCGACCAGGCGCGTTCCCACACCTTGCTGCTGATCGAACAAGCACTCAAATTCTACAACACTGTCTATGACCAACTCATGGCAAAGTATGTGTCGTCCTCGCGCTGCGAGAGTGCCGTCAAGGTGGTTGCCCAGCGCCTACTAATCTGCCTTGGTGACCTGTCGCGCTACCGCGTTAATTACGTACAAGGCCCGGACTACCTGGAGGCTGCACGCTACTACCATCGTGCTCAGGAGCTAGTGCCCGGAAACGGTGCGCCCTACAATCAGCTGGCTATTGTCTCGATTTTTCATGTAAGTCAATGTGGCACTCTTTAGTGTTCGAGTATTCGAATAACTATTGAACATTCTTCCCTAATTATGCAGCATAAGCGCTTCGATGCTGTATACTATTATGTGCGCAGCTTGTTGACGTCAAACTCAATTCAAACAGCCAAAGAAAGCTTGCTGGATCTGTTTGACGAGATTCGCCGCAAGTACGAGGAGACAGAAATGAAAAAATCTCCCTTTGATTGTGGCCCGATCGCAAAGGCCAACCAGAAGTCCAAGCACATGCGAAAGGAAGTTTGGATCTACCCGGATGGTATACGCTGCTTGCATCGTTCCGATGTCAAGAAAAAGGGTAAAAACAAGGTGACTCTGGCCGAGGTTAAACCGCTATGACGAAATGTCACCAGTGGATCTGTTGCCACGCGTTGTCTCCCTTTACTTGTACTTGATTGGCAAACTCTATAATGGAACTGAGTAAGTTATATTACATTATTGTACATACATGTATGTATATGTAGAGATGTTCCCGCTCATGTGACTTGTTCTTAGTGTGGACTCATTGTACCAGCTGCTACGAAAGCTTCAGATTCAGTTGAGTGTCGCTCTAAAGCAGACCAACCTGTTGTCACGTTCCAAACTGTTGAAAATGGTGGCACTTAACCTGTTCGTCATGGAGCACAACAAGCGCAAAGGTACGAGACGCGTCGAGTATATTTTAGCAGATAAGCTCAATCATAATTGACACTAATACGCTGCATATACGCTGTACTTTATACTTTTTGTAGTGTCACGTCGTGAGATGCGTTATCACAGCTTCAATTTTGCCAATTCATTGTTTGGCCTTATGCTGAAAATAACAAACGAAACGCTGGCCAACTTTGTTGAGGAATCTACGAGTGTTCAGTCTCTTGCTGACGACAAGTATGCAATTGCAATATGGCGCCTTGGAATTGGAATTTTATTTGACTTTGCCTTTATCATGTTCTAGATACACCACCGTAAACACGTATCTGCAGTTTGTGAAAGTTCACGTCCAGTGGCTGAGCATCAACGTGGATTTGTGGGAGCCGGTGCGCTCAGAGGAGTATGTACAGCTGCAGTACATTTCATCTGAAATATTACTTATCAACTTTTGCACCTCCCACAGGCACTCATTCATCGATTGCTGGGCAGAGTTGTCAACCCTTTTCATTAACATTGAATGGCTGCTCGCCAAGTACAAGCTCGACAAAGAGGACGATGAAAAGTTGTCCAAGATCATTTTGTACGAAGACATTGCACTGAGCGGCTTCAGTCCGTTGGGTAAGGATACGACGAGCAGAGTCAACGGTCAGCGTGGGTCGGAGCGCATGCAGTTCCTTGTGCGCATGCGAAAGATAGCACAGTTTCAGGAGTGCTTTCTGCTGCATCAGGATGCCCTGCAGCTGCCACAGAACTCCAGCTTCACCATTGAGGATCTCAATGATGATATGAAGGTTGCTCTGAATAGTTTTGATGCAGAAAGCTGTGCCCTTTCCTCGGATACGACTGCCATCGACAAAAGCGAGGAGCAGACCAAGCCGCCAGAAGATGGAGCCGTCTGCCCCTCGACTGACTCGGATGTCTCGCAGCTGTGCAAGCTTAAGAAGGAGCTCGAGGAGAAGGCCAGGGTCAAGAAGTTCTGCAACAGCAAGCTGGAGGAAATTCTTAAATTAGTGGACACAAAAATATACATAGAAGTACGTCCGCGCTACCTGTTGCCCGACACCAACTGCTTCATTGATTGCCTGGAGGACATCGAGAAGTTGTCTATGGAATACAAGCGCTATACGCTCATAATACCGCTCACAGTCGTCAAGGAGCTGGACGGACTTTCCAAAGGCGTCAAGCTGGACGCCTATCGTAGCTCACGACAGACAAAACGTATCCATCACTTTGACGAGGTGTCGACGCGCGCCAAAAAGTCACTGGAGTTCATTAAGTCGGCTAAAAGCAATGTGAAGTAAGATATCCATTTGATTTGTATTTTTTTCAAGAGTTTCTCTACTTTGCTGGACTGTGTTTCAGGTGTGCAACCACAAAGGGATCTTTTGTAAATGCCTC